TTTAATATATTGTTTCCTCTTTTTATTATAATGTGTGTAATCCGGGTTGTTTGTTCATCCTTTGCCCTAGGCAGTGTACGTTAAATTGATTGATTATTATAATTTGTTTTTATAGAGTTTTCGGCGCCTACCTTATTGTTATAAGGTATGTCGTGCTCAAACAATTGGTAGCAGAGCGTGTGATTTTAACAGTTACATGTTCTGATGCTTTGGGTGACCACACCACATCACATTATATAATATACGAATATTTTTGGTTTATTGTTTTATCGGGTTAATCAACCATTATGGGAGGTAATAGTAAGCATGATAATCGCGCTACGGCTTATAGAGCCAAAGTACATGTCGAAGTTAAAAGAGATAATGCCGTCATGAATATTGAAAAGTTGTTTGAGTTATCGTCCAAAGCACTTCTCCGGATCTGATTCCGAAATTTTTATTATCTGCTCGTCATGTTGACACATTTTGGTCTCAATTTTCCGTTGAAAACGATGCATTGCTTCTTCTTCCATGACTTCGGCCTTCAAGACCATGTCGTCCAACAGATTTGTCTCCAAGTTTCTCTATCTAAAGCTAACTCCTTCCAATCCAATCCTGGTCTCACTTTCTCTATGTCTTCTTTGATCCTATCTTCCCAGCGTAACCTCGGCCTTCCAAGTGGTCGTTTTCCTTTTGGTGCATTCTCTTGTACTATTTTTATCAATGACCCTGTTTTTCTCTAAGAATGTCCTGCCCACTTGAGTCTTCTTTTGGCGATATCTTCTTTAATGCTTGGTCTTTGATACAAATCCTGAAGTTCCTTGTTTTTACGTATTCTCCATTCACCTGTATGTTCGTCTTTACATGGTCCATAGATTTTTCTCAATACCTTTCTTTCAAACACTAAAAGAGCATTTTCGTCGTTTTTCCTCATGGTCCAAGTTTCTGACCCATATGTCACCACTGGCTTGATAAGTGTCTGGTATATTTGGGACTTCAGATTTTTCGAAATTACTCTAGATTTTAATAACTTTGTCAGGCCAAAATAACATTTATTGGCAGCTTGTAATCTTGCTTTTATTTCCGTACCTATTTCATTCTGCTGTGTAATTAGTGTGCCAAGGTATTTGAACTGCTGCACGCTTTTGAATTTGTAGTTTTCGACTTCCAGGACCTCGTTACGACAGCCTTTTTGTTCATGTCTTTGCACGACCATATACTTAGTTTTCTCTGCGTTAATCTCTAGGCCTACACGTTTAGCAGCATTTATGAGTTGTTTTGATTGTTCTTTGAGTTTATCTTTGCTTTCTGCCATCAAGACTATATCGTCTGCATATGCCAATATTAGTTCCCTAATGGTGCAGAGATCGGTTGGCTTATTTTTGATCGTTGGCATTAGAAACAAGCACGTGCCCAAAATGGCAATACTTTTGCATTGCTGGCCACACAAATCGTTCTGAAACTAAGCGAGCTGTTGCACGTGAACCGTGGTGATTAAAGTTGTGTAACTGATCAAACGCGCAATGCCGAAATCGTTTTGGAAAAAGTCAACGTCCTGTTGACGTGTTGCAATAGAGGCTGGAGATCCAGAAACTGGTACTTTTTCCAAATGCAAGGATGAACCGCTGTTAATCAAATGTTTGAGTCCTTCTGCGTACTGAGATGCAGCGAGAGTTTGGTAGTCTAGCGGGAAAGACATGGCTTCAATACGTAACTTAGTATCAGCGACTATAATGTGTTCGCCTTTCACGTGTTACACGTCAGTGTCAAATTCAGAGATGAATGTCAATTGGTTGAGTTGCGTAGGAGGCATCTTTACTCGGCATTGAGTGAAAGCATATATGAGTGGCTTATGGTTGGCAAAAATAGTACATGGTTGTGTTTCGACTGAAATACTTCGCCGATTCATAGATGTCGAGTAATTCACGATAATTAAACGGTCTGCGCACCTTGTTTTACCGACATTTTTTTCGAGAAAAATGCTATAAGCTTCCAGTTGTCACCGATGATTTGCTGCAGACATGCACCGATAGATTGACTAGACGTGTCAGTAAACAGTCTGAGACGTGCGTCCGGATGAGGATGGGCTAAGAGTGTAGTTGTCGCAAGACTGTCTTTGCAAACAGTGAACGCTTCTTCCAACTCTGGAATCCACTGTATAAATTGGGATTCTTTTGCTTTCGGGCCTTTGAGAATGTCGTGAAGTGGTGCTTGCAGGTCGGTGGTCTTGGGAAAGAACTGACGATAAAAGTTGACCATTCCCAAAAATCGACGTAATCCCTGTATAGACTTTGGCAATGAATACTGCCGTAGGACGCTAACGCATTCCGGTGGCAGGCGAGTGCCATCAGAAGACACTAGGTACCTGAGAAACTTCACCTCAGTAGTACACAAAACTGATTATTGCGAATTAACGATGACACCGTAGTCAGTAAGTCTTCTGAATAAAAGGTGAAATTGTTGTGTGTGGTCCTCTTCCAATTTTGAGAATACCAAAATGTCATCAATATATGCCTAACAGAAGTCCAACCCCTTGGTAACTTTATCTATGAAACTTTGAAAGTTTGTCCAGCATTTCGACATCCGAATGTCATATAAGGGAATTCGTAAAGTCCGAATGGAGTAGTAATGGCTGTTTTACATATTCCATCCGAGTTAACAGGTATTTAATGGTAAGCTTTTACCAGATCAATTGTGGAAAATTTCATGCAGTTAGCCAGATTGTGCGAGAAATCGTGGATGTGTCTCACTAGATACGAATCTGGTATAGTGCGGGCGTTCAGCGCATAGTAATCCCCACAAGGACGTCAGTTGTTTTCTCCTTTCGGTGTTAAATGTAATGGTGAAGACCGCGGGCTATTTGAAGGTCTAGCGGTACCCACCTTGATCATTTACGTGAACTCCTGCTTGGCCATTTTTAGCCTACCTGGAGCTAAACGACGCAGGCGGCAGGCTATTGGCTGTCCTGGTGACGTCAAAATATGGTGCATAGTTTGATGTTTTATTACTCTGGACAATCCGGCGTGTTTTTGTGAGTGTTCACGTTGACGACAATAAAGCTCCATGGGAAACTGCGTCGTAGTCCTACGTCCAAGTCGGGGTGAAGTGTCCCGTAAGCTTTTATGGTACAATTGTTGGCCGCGCTGAGGTTGTAATTGGTGGCTTGTCGGCGATCACGTAGTAACCGTCGAGGGTAACTAGAGAGGTCGGATCCCGAGTCGACTAGAAACTGGCGTTTTATTATTTTATCTGTAACAAACAGGCGGATACTAGAAATTGGGCGATCTGTTGCCGCCACTACTGATTGCCGTTGGAGTTTACCTGGTACTTACAGGGAGCCTTACACTTGGCAGCCTTTTCTCCATAAGTACTATGATATATATAAGAGCAGATTCAATGTCAGATAATATTGACTTTTTCATAGTTTTTTTCTTCTTAGATGATAATTCTGCATAAGATATGAATTTGAAAATTTCATTTTTTTATTTGATTAAGTCACGAACTGTCTGTTGACCCACGCTAAACTCATTTGCAAGTTTTTATACAATTTTCACTATGCCACTGGATGCGTCCCCAGGTTTCGGATAGGGGAAATTCCTACAGATATGTAGGACAGTCCCGAAATAAGCCATACCTTTGGGTTGGACGAATAAGCGGTCGCTGACAAGTTCATCACCGGAGCAGCGATCGACCCC